TTGCGGTTTATTATGACGATTTCTGTAGCCATTTTAACAGGATTTCCAAAAGATTTTATCTTTTTAAGTAAATCTGTAATTCAAGCTCAAACAACCGAGATTCAAAACTAAAAAGTGACACCAGGATTACTTAAAATATTCCTATTGTCACCTTTCACCTTGAAAAGATCAGAGAACCTCATAAACACTTAATAAATTGTAAGAGTCATAAATTAACACTATAAAATTGTGTATTACTTAAGTGACATATGTAAAGAACAAACGGTCTTTGTTGATTGGTCATCTTTTAAGTCGATGGGTTCAAGTCTTAAAATAGAATGGCAGAAACTATGTACCTTGACGAAATATAAACCGTGTATTCAAAGGTAATTTCTGGAATTAATCTCTCTTGCTATTCAATCGTTTAAAATACTTGATTCAGATTCTATATAAAGAACCAGTAAACAAGTCATGACACATCTGGCTGATCCCCAAAAGGTAATGAATGATAAAAATAAGAAAGCGATTATATCTGACAGAATTCTTAATACTTATCCCATGGCAAAAGATATTTAGTTTAGGCATTGTCTTTTTGAATTTATAAATCGTTTGAGATTTTTTTTTAAAAAAAGTAAGTAAAATACGAAATGATTTGTATGAATTATCCTTGATTAATTCTTTTTCACCTGGCAGATATTTTACATATTTATAAATAGACATTTTTGAATGAAGTCAGTTTTGGCACATCACCATATTCGTGGACATTTATTGAAGATGTATGCAGCAATGGTTGACGATACAAAAACAATCATTACTATTTCACAGTGGAATCGATCCTCCAGATCTACAAATCAACAATTCGCCCTTGCATGGAGTATTGCTGCCATATATGTTTCTGTTTGCCTCGGGGTTCTTGATAAGATCCAGAGGCGGATATGCAATATAATTGGCCCTGTTCTGGTATCTCGTCCACAGTCACTTTCTCACAGACGCACCGTCGCCTCTCTCTGTCTGTTTTACAAATACTTTCATGGCAATTGCTCCGAGGAGCTGCATTCGCTGGTTCCCATACTTCATGAGTTCAAGCGCCCTACGAGGCTGGCATCCCGCTCTCATCCTTTCACTGTCGAAACTCCTAAATGTAGCCGTCCGTTCTACTCCAATAGCTTCATGTCTCGTACCTCTCGCCTGTGAAACTCCCTTCCCTATTCCAGTTTCCCTGAGAGCTATAATCTCCAGCTATTCAAATGTAATGGCAATCGACATCTCCAGTTGCCTTGATCTATCCACTACCCTCATCCTTTCTTCTATCACTCCTATCTGATCTTCTGTAACCCCTTGCGTCTTAGTGGCTTTTCGCCTTGCTTGGGGTGAAACGCTTAAAAAAAAAGAAAAACAAAACAAAACAAAAATCAAACAATTATTACAATTGAGCAAAACAGTACAGTTACCATTAACATTTTTTCATCTTCAAATCCATAAAATTCGTCATCTTCGTTATCAAAACTCTGATACTCATCTTCAATGCTACTATCATCGTCGTTAAATAATACGCCATCTTGCGTTCCATTGAGAGCATTGCTAATGCCACACTTTTGAAAAGATTTCACAATAATTTCTGGTCTATTATTCCAAGAAGAAGTCCCGCAACACAATTTTTCTCGATCGAATCTATCTTACATAAATCTACCATTCGTCCTTGCTTTGTTACCACATCGGTCTGGTGCCTTTGCTATATGTTTAGAGATTCTTGATAATACCCAAAGAAGAAACTGTATTGTTAATGTTCCTGACCTGGCATCTCGGCTTCAGTCCCTTTCGAACCGCCGTAACGTAGCCTTCCTGTGACTTTTCTATAAATATTTTCATGGTAATTGTTCAGATGAACCTCCGCAATGTTACCTAGATTGGCAGCAAGGTCTTGATGTAACCGTAAGTTCTATGTTAGCAGTTTCTTCTATCATACTTCTCACTTGTGAAATTCTCTCTCGGCTCCCTGCTTCCCAGTCAATTTTGATCTTCAAAAATTTAAATGCAATGTCAATCTTTACCTTCTGTCTTCTTAATTCTAGTTCTTTCATTATCCTATCTCCCCTTAATAGTAGTTTTCTCATATTCCCTAAGAATTAGTAACTCCTTGCGCCCAAGTGGCTTTATTGCCTTGCTTGGGTTTAAATGAATAAATGTGTATATTTAAATGATTAACAAATGTCCTGTGTATAAATCCTGTGTATGTTAGAATTATAACGGCCGTCCAGTGCTTCCTGCATTCTGTTGAGATTTCTTCTAGACTCGATGAATTACTTATAATTATCTCAAATCCTCCTAATTTCTATCACTTGTATATCCCTGCTTGAACCGGCTTCTAATGTTCTGAATGGAGCGGCAGCTTGGTGATAGTAGTCGTGGCTCGTGGGGGCACAGTCCTATGGGTACAAGAGAAACTCGAATGAGTTCCCCCACGGAAAATGTGATCGAGCGACGCTATATCTAGTCTGATTCGCTACCTCTTCGTTATTGAGGGCCGTTGGAACAGTTGGTATGACGTCTGCCTGATAACGTAAGCTGTCCAGGTTTCAATTCCCGGTAGTGGATGCGCACTGCTGATGAGTCCCAAATATAGGACGAAACGGCCGTCCAGCACTTTCTGCATTCTTTTGAGGTTTCTTCTAGACTCGATGAATTACTTAATTATAAATAATTATTTGCGATTTTTTTTTAAATGCTATATCTATCCAGGACATAAGTGATCATGGCTCTCCACAGCTTCCTTTTCTTTATTATCTGCGGTTTGCCATGTCTTCTTTGGAAAGATAGTGATTTCTTGTAGCCTTCTCAGCGGCTTAGAATTCAGAGTTTTCCTTCTCTTAAGCTGGTCGCCTCCTAAGATTAGAGAGAGCACAGTTTACCTTACTATTAAATCCCTAGCTGTAAGAAGAAATAGATTCTCAAGCGAATTTATGCGAGAATGGACGCACTAGACTAGTAAGAAATTTGAAATCGACTCGCTGATTCAACTTTCAGCGCCGATATCCGTTACACAACCCACACATCCAAATAATCATTAGCCTATCATTAAATGAAATTTGTATCCAACCTATCATTATCACAATCTGAATCATTATCATTGTTACCATTGTATCATTATCTGAATCCAGCCTATCATTAGATAAAATCTGAATCGTTAGCGACATTTTTTTCTAAAAATGACTTCAACATAATGTTTTTGAAATATATCCTCAATTTTAAAGATCAGGCAAAGGTCCCTTCTCCAGTATTAAATTTTCATTTATAAGTACTTACTAAGTTGTGTTGGCATGAGGTTACAGATAAGGAGCTCTCGGTACAGACTGAAGTCATTGGTGCAGTCATTGTCTGGGGTGTCATAGATGCTCATCTGCAAAAAAAAACATGACTAACCAGTTCTCACATTCAGCCAACTGTTTCATTTGTTGCAAAAGTTGTTTTCTGCTAATTTTGACTGAGTTTGGCACCAGACCTTAAGTATGATGGAGCCAGTGAATATTGAATTCACTACTTAGCAGCTACAGTCAAACAAACTAGCTCGTTAACCAATACCCTACATCTACGTGACTTTGTTTTTTGTTTTTTTTGGGTTTTTTTTAGAAGAGTTGATACCAGTTCAAGATGAATGAAAATAATTGCAGAAACATCAGATGACAAAATTCCTTTTCACTTGCATCCGGTCAAGATAAAGACGAGATAATTTGGCGTATGTTGACCTTCGTAATCGTTTATTTCACCATAAACCTAAATTCATAGTTTTTTTTTTTTTTTTTAGTTCTAAGTCTGCTTCTAATCTTTCCATTCAAAAAACCTTTCAATTCTGTCGAAAAAAAATATTGAGTAAAGTAAGTTTCGTTCGGTTTATTAAGTAAAAATAAAAACTAATTTTCTATGCATTACAGGTAAAAATTTGGGGGCCTCTGTACATTTCTTTAAAAGTTTCAGTAAATACAGTGTATTTGCTTTATATTTATATATCTATAGTTTCATTCTTTCACCAGGCAATTCTTGCTATCAAAAAGTTTAAATTTGGATTCGTCTTTGCGGTGATTTTATTGACAAAACAAAATATGATGTTGTATGATAATGTTCTTAGCGTTAAGTGTATTTTTTCTCAAAATAAAAACAAATACGCTCTATAAATAATACTAATACTAATATTAATATTACTACTACTAATACTAATACTACTACTACTACTAATAATAATAATAATGATAATAACAATAATAATAAATTATTACACGTAAAATGCTGAACGACCAATTTGTAACTAGTAAAATATGAGGTGGTTTAAATCTATCTATCTATCTATCTATCTATCTATCTATCTATCTATCTATCTATCTCAGTCTCTTCATTATCCATCTATCTATATATTTTCACATCTAGTTCTGTCACTTCACATCTGTCTCTGACTGTTCTTATGTTTCTCATTTTTGTCCCTATCTATCTATCTATCTATCTATCTATCTATCTCTTTTACATTAAAAAATTACAAAAATATCTTTCATTTTAAGGTGTTTGTTTTAATGAAACGCAGGGTGACATAAACTTTTTGCCCGTAGTGCATATATCGAACTTACGCACGTATATATCGATCTGGTTAACCTACAGGGAATTCCGGATGCATCAACTTAAAAGACGACCAATCAACAAAGACCGTTTGTTCTTTTGATATGCCACTTAAGTAATATACAATTTTATAGTGTTAATTTATGACACTTACAATTTAGTAAACATTTATGAGGGTCTTTTGTTTTTTTCAAGTTGAAAGGTGAAATTGAGAATATTTTAAGTAATCCTGATGTCAATTTTTAGTTTTGAAACTCGGTTATTTGAGCTTGAATTACAGATTTACTTAACTAGAGAAAATTTCCTTACGGAAATCCTGTTAAAAATGGCTTCAGAAATCATCATATCAAAAAGTTACCGCAAAGCAATAAATTATTTACAAGTAAAATGTTGAACGACCACTTTGTAAGCAGTAAAATATGACATGGTTTAAATCTATCTATCTATCTATCTATCTATCTATCTATCTATCTATCTATATCTATCTATCTATTTCAGTCTCTTCATTATCTATCTATCTATCTATCTATCTATCTATCTATCTATCTCTAGTCTTCATTATTCATTATCTATCTATCTATCTATCTATCATCTATCTATCTATCTCTCAGTCTTCATTATTCATTATCATATCTATCTATCTATCTATCTATCTATCTATCTATCTATCTATCTCAATCTTTTCATTACCTATCTATCTAGCTAGCTATCTAGCTAGGTAGCTAGCTAGCTAGCTAGCTATCTTCATATCTAGTTCTGCTGCTTCACATCTATCTCTGACTGTTCTCATATTTCTCATCTATCTATCTATCTATCTATCTATCTATCTCTTTTACTTAAAAACATACAAAAATATCTCTCATTTTAAGGTGTTTGCTTTATTGAAACGTAGAGTGACCCCAAACTTTTGACCTGTAGTGCATATATTGAACTTCTCCAGGTATATATCGATTTGATTAATCTACAGCGAATTCCGAACGCAACCCTTTATTGAATCTACGGGGGTAGATCGTTCCCGTTCCCCTTCTTATGTCTAAGGATATTGTCTCGTTCTTTCTTTCTTTTTTTTATTACTGTTCAGTTTTTGTTCGCTAGTTTCCACTAAGTGAAACTAGACATGGCCAGTTGAACGAGGGCAGTCTACCTCTGTAGAATAAATAAATTTAGAATTCCCTGTAGGTTACCCAGATCAATATACACCTGAAGAAGGCCGGGTGCACAACGACCGAAACGTTGTAATAAACACAACACATTTGCAATATTTACATTGTTGTACACCCGGGCCTTCTTCAGGGGATATACAATGGCATTTCGTGCAACGGGCGAAACGCCGTGAACATGACAATAAAGATGAGGACAATAGTCCAAACAATGTAAATAGTGTAAATAGTTACAATACCTCATCTCAGAAATATAGACAAAAAACAATAAAGATGAGGACAATAGTCTAAACATAAATAGTGTACATAATGATAACTCATCACAGAAATTCAGACAAAAAAAAGGAATTTTCATTATCATATACTTTCTTTTCGCTTACTTGGTATACTCACAACGTTTCAGACTATTATCCGCCGCCCTTCTTCAGATATCAGTTTTACTCAGTAAGTTTTTCTGAATTTTGAACCGAAGCGAATTTTATTCAGTCTAATAGTTATAGTTTTCATATTCCAATTACCATGCTTAGGAGAGACATCATATTAATTAAAACTCTCCAGCCTTTCGACATTTTTGTCGATTATCCGTTCCTTACATTGAACCAGAGTTTATGGCCTTTTCTGCCTTATACCAACCCAGGCATTGCACTCACTGCTGGCTGAGAAACAGATATCAAGTCCTTTAATTTGTCTTTTCTCTTTTTACTTTCAATATTTACTTTACTGAACTTGGTACCCACATCTCCGTTTATACTGAACTAAGCATAGCTTATTAAATGCCTACACTTGAGCTTTGATGGATTAACATGAGTTTTACCAGATGCTTAATTGCATTCGAAGATATTAAAAAAATCAAATCAAATAAACATTTACTGTTTAGTACCACAGTCTTCGGCCATCTTTCAGGCAACTTTAGAATTCCATCCCCACCTACAAAAACGTTTTATCTTTCTCAGCAAATAAATGTTCAGTGTATATTTTTCGTTTCCATGTTCCTTAAAAATTCTCATTGCTATATTCCCAACATGCTTCTGTAGAACCACATCTCTGTTACCTCGCGTCTCCTCTTCATCTGTGATTAAACTGTCCAGCATTCACTGCCATATAGGAAAGCTGATATTACACAATAGTTCAATACTCTTGTTATTGTTTCTAATTAATTTTTTTTTCTGTTTCTTAATACTTTGCTTAGCTTTCAGAAGGTATGTTTCTGTATTCTAATGCTACCCAGATATTTAAATTTTGTCGCTTTCTTGATTTTCACATTTCTAAATCGTAGCCCGCGTGTTCTTTTGAACACTTTTTCCTATTTCCACCTATTTTCCGAACAAGATTTCTTGAATATTGTTATATTCCGTGCTAAGGGAATAAATACTTAACGCCAGGTGGATAATAGAAGAAATGTTTACTGTACAAAACAAGTACAATATGAAATACAGTACAGTTATACACACAGGTCAATCTAGTAGTGAGTGACACTAATTGGAAGGTCGGACTTGCTTGCGTCTTCTCTCTCTCACTCTTCCTCAAGTCTCTCGTCGTCAGTTGACTTTATAGGTACTTACTACCTGTAGTGTAATCATTCATGGGGGTGACTGGTTATTCCATTACATAAAATATTGAAGCCAGTAGATAGAAATAAATAAATTTACTGCTTAATAAATAAAAACAGAATATCTACTCAAAACATGGGAAGCCATTAAAAATTACGTTTATGCAACAAATTAAAATAATAAATGAAAAAATTTTAAAAATTGTCTTT